TTAGTATTCATGACTTCACATATATAAAACACAAAAAATTATTAATTATTATAAATCAACTTATTGTAATAATAATTAATAAATTAATTATAATTATATTAAATAAATATATAGGACCAGACCAAGTGGTCCAAATACTCAGTCTCTTGTCCAGTTCAATCCAAAAAAAAAAAATCTGACCCTTTTGGTCTTGAGAGATCATATTTTTTTCTAGATCGAATTGGACTAAATTTATCTCAGATTAGATGGAATCAAATAAAATTAAAAAACTTTTGCACAACCCTATTTTAAATTAGTTTAATTTTTTTAATATAATTCCTAGCAATGTGTTTTATTCTCTTATTTTTTTTAAAATCATATATAACTAGGCTTTTATGTACTGATTCATGTAAGTAAACTGACATTATTCATGTTTGTTTTCGCAGTAATGAGCTGTTGATTAAAGGGCCTTCTAGGTACTGCACACATCCTCAAAGCTCGCTAGTTATGCTCTTGTGTCGGAAGCTTTTAAGTGTTCAGATGCTTTTGGTGATGTTGATGACCCCAAATCCGAATACAAAGTGTGATGATGTTTTGTGGGCTGCGTGTATATCATTGTGATTACTTTGCTATTTGTTGTAACACCTCAAAAAAATTTAATTTAAAATTAATTAAGTTAATTAAAAGTAAATGAGTAATTTTAAAAAAATATTTAAAAATAAATAATTATTTTTAAAATATTATTATTGAATTTAATTTAAAATAAATTAAATTCTAAATTATAATTTTTTTAAAAAAATAAAATTATTATTATTATCGTTACAAGAGAAAAAAGATATGTGAAATTAAAAAAATAAAATTAGGAACGGATTTGTACATGTGTGTGTAGGGTGAATATTATATTAAAAAAAAAGAGGAAAGGAGATAGACGTTGATGTGTGTGCGCGCGCGCAAAAAACAAAAAAAAAAGAGAGAAAGAAAAGGAGATGGGAGGTGGAATCATGTATGTTAGTTAATATGTATATATAAAAAAAACAAAAGAAAAAAGAATGGTGTGAATTCTGATGTGAGACCCACACTATTTTAAAAACAAGCCAACACAACCTCTTGACTTTTCATTTCCTTCTTCTTCCTTTTCATTCTGCGTCCGCATACAGAGAGCGAGCGAGAGAGAAAGCGCCACTGATAGAAGTTGATTTAAAAGATGAAACACTATAATAGAATATTTTAATTAAAATTTCAAGTATACTAAAATTATATAAGTATTTTAAATATTTTTCTTAGTTAGATTTTCTCTTAAATTTTTGATTTGCAGATCATGAGAAACTTAGGGTTTGAAAAAGAGATAAATTTTAATGAGTAAATCTGATTATTGAGATTGTTATTAGTGTAATAAATATTTTAAAATATTATTTTATTAATAGAATTAAAATTTGAGACCTTTGAGTTTATCCCTAAATTTTTATGGGTAGATTTTTGGTTAAATATGAAAATATAAATTAATTTGTTAATATTTAGATGATTATTTAAGATAAAAAATAAATTATTATAACTATAAAATAATGATTCTAGGCTTGAGATCAAGTTTGCAATTTTGAATATTTTTATGTGCGAATTTTGGAATAAAAAGGGAAATTTTAATATTAAAAATTATTTGAATGATGTGTTTAGCCAAACTTGAATGAAATTATTATGAAGGAGGCTATTGAACCAAGTAGATAGGTTCAAATATATGAAATTAAATTTTAAAACTCAAAAGGATAAGACTAAGGTCTTAAAATATGAAATAATATAAAATAAATACTTAGATGTTAGAGTATGAGTGAAAATTGTGCTAATAATATTATTGACACATTAGAATATGATCCATTGTAGATTAATTTTCTTTTGACACCATTCAACTTTTGAAAAGCTTTGAAAGTATTGTAACTTGAGGGGTAACTTTTGACCTTTCAAAGATTGAGGTAATGGAGAAAAATTTATTTTATACATTTTTATGTTAATTAATTATTTATGTTGGTGAAACAAAAGAATATATATATATATATATATATAAATTTTGAAATGGTTGTTTGTAAATGCATATGTGATTTTGTTGAGACCCTATAATTTGTAACAAGTTAATTGTGACTTAGTGTGAGTAATGAGATTGATGGTTGATGATGATATGCACACTCTTAATTATAAATTATGAATTTTGCATAGTAATGAATTGTACATGAGCATCTTGAGTTTTACATGATGCTAATGTGGTTTATGTGGTAATATAAAATTGATACAAGAGACATATTGAATATGATGATTCTTGGTGCTTGTTGAGCAAGAAAGTTGATAAGTATGTGGAATAATTGTGAATTATATATATGAGGTTTTGAAATGTATTTCTTCATGAGCATGATCATATGGCGGGAGTTCGCCTTAGTGAAGGAATTAACGGTTATGCAAAATTCATATGGTACTTGGCTATTAACCGATAATCTTAGGAGTTATAGCCATTACTTATATTGTAAGGTACTGTAGCATTGTTCCTATTAAGGGACTTGACCCTACTGACCTACCTAGAGTTTTGGGTATGACACCCCATAGTGTGTAATTTGGGGGAAACCGTATTCATAAGTAAGTAAAGTAACACTGGCCCAATAGCTCCTCACGATATAATTAAGGCATTGGGTAGTCCCACTATATGGACGACCCCTTCCTGTTATTGGCCCACGGATTTCATTTCAGAAAAAATAAGGGGGGATATAAGGAAGAGATTAATCATGCATTGTTGAGAATATGATTATAATTGTGAAAATGAGAATATATAGTAATTATGCAAATAATGTATATGTGGTCATTTGTGCAAATTTTGTACTTGACTTTATTTTTCAAATTATTCACATGAGTTAAATGTTAATGTAATTAATATGTTATTAATGTGATTGTTTACATGTGTACCTTGATAAATTTATTAGCCACTTGCATTCATGATTAATTATCATGCATTTGTATAACTTAGATGTACCTTAATTACTGAGTGGTTATACTTATCCCTCTCTTTTAACATATTACAAGAGTTAGCTCATTTGGGAAGAATAGAGGAAAAGAGCATTAAGAAAAGTGATAATAATCACTTCCGTAAGCCTTGCTCTTTTTGTTTTAATATGTATATTTAGTTTATGATATTGCCAACTAGAATAATATATTCTTGATTCACTTACATTATGAGTTTTGTGTTGGGTGAAAATGTATTTTGGGCCCTTGAAAATGTGGTTTGATGCTTGTATTTATATTAATAGGCCAAAATATTTGTACAAGTGAAAATACTTATTATCTGCTTAATTTGAGAACTTAAATGTTGTTATGGTCTCCCCTTGTGTTTTTTATATCCAAGGGTAAGTAGTTAATATTAATTATATGTGAATGAAAAGGAAAATTCATGCATATGATGGGCTATTGATGAATAGATAATAGAGTATGATGACTAGGAAATAGTCATTGTGATGAATATGATTGAGACCTTGGCCCCTCGTTGTTAGTTATGGAAGGATTTAAGTAGCTAAGTGTTATGTTGTGAATATTTATATATATTGTGAAGTAAGGCATAGAGAGAAAATAAAGCGAAAAGCTTTTCTCTCATGTTGAGATGTGTTTTCTTTATCATACTTTCGCATATGTCTAATTGAATAATATGAGTCCTTGAAATATTTTAAAAACTTGGGATTCCTTTGTTTTGAATCGTTTGTGAAAATATATGTAAAGAATTTATTTAGGTTAATCTTGTATTGGATAATCCTTTTAAATCAGTTCTTGATTAAACATAATTAATATGATGATCTAAGTCTTAATTTAGGATGCATTTTACATTTGTGTTGTTCACATTTTGAGGTATGCTTGATTTGGCTCTTTGTACCAATTTGGTTTGTCCAATTACTAGGGAGAGGTGTTGTCATATTTTAGTTAATCTTGCAAGTTATGTTAGTGAAACATGAGATTTGAAATATATTGTGCCGTAGTGTGCTATTCATATCATGATACTCATGAATTGTAGAATGTGGTATATTAGTGCTTTAAGATAAACTAGTTCTAAATTAACTTCCTTATACATCATGAACTAGAGATTTTAGGCTGTGGTAAAAAGCTGTATTAGTGTTACTTTCTATATATTATAATATAGAACAAGAAAAGCTCATTCAAGGGAAAAAAATCATCTTCCCTTATAGCTATAGGCCAAATTTCACATAGACAAGACCAATCGAACATGAAAGGTTACTCCCTCCATCTCTATATACAAGATGTTTTTAATTGAATCATGTAAACTAATAAAAGTGAATTATTTAATTAAAAGCACAGCAATATTTTAGTTTTGTTCTTAATTATTGTAAATAAAAAATAAATCTCTTTTTTCAAAGTAAATTAATGAAAGTATTTATCTTTCCCTCTTTCTAATTTAATAAAGGTATAATAGTTCATTTATCAAAAATATATACTAATAACCTCTTATATTTAAAGACAAAAAAAGATTCTAAAAGATTTTTTATATATAAAGACAGGAGTATATCAACAAAGTTACAAAATTTTTAGTTACAATCACAACGTAAAGGATACAACCAACAGAACAGACAAGCAAAAAAGTGAAAATCTGTGTCTAAGAACATCCAAATCTTTAGTTCCAAACCTACAACACAGGCCAAAGAACCAGCATCAATAGCCAAAGTGAAAAATTAGTGACAAATATCGAGAGACAAGACATTAAATGAGTATGCATATTTAACTTGAAAAACTACACCCATAGGTGACTTCAAAACCTGAATAAACTGATAAAGAGGTCATACGATCATGGACAACTTACACCTTCATTTTCCTTCTAACCAAGCTCAATATATGACAGGGCTAGAATCATCTTTGAAGATATGGCATTTAACTACTAGTTTAATCTCAAACTGTCATCTTGACGCCATTATTATTGAAGCTAAGGGGCCATTGTAAACGAAGACAAACATCATATCATACTCTTTGTCAGCAAGACAAAAACCTACTAATTGCAGTAAGCCAAGAACTGTATTCCTTCAGTAGACAAATGGTTTTAGTCTTCTCAAATCTCAACCACCAATTAACATCCACATAACAAGTATGACAACTTTGATATAAATCAAAATTTATTGGCTCAAGAAAAATACAAAGCCAGCAAAGCATATTAGTGTTTTTTCCCCTGGTGAATGGAAGTTTCGGCTTTATGACTAACAAAATTGAAGTATTGTTGTTACTAAAACCGAAAAATCCTAACTTGTGCTCTTCATCTTCCAATTCATAGTTATCTCCTTCCTCTGTCGCTCTGCTCACAGGAATCACGTACATTTTCCATAGCAGACATAGACGACAACAGCTGCTGCCGCAATAGCTCCAGTAGATCCTGCAACCATAGGCCACTGCAACTTCAATCCATTCAAAGCCTTTGCTTCACTATCCATGCCTTCCACAGCTTCCTTGACTGCTTCATCTGCCTTCTCCCTCAGTGATCTGATTACATTTTCTGCTTCCTCAATTTTCTCCTGCAATTTTAGAATATTTGACTTCATGCTTCTTGATTTCTCCTCTGATTCTTAGTGCCTCCTGCAAATTTAGCTTTTCCTTAATCCACTCCTCCAATTCAAGTCCTCTCTCTGTAGCAGCCTTTTGCAACTTCTCAAGCTTGTGTCTGACCCCACGAATTTCCTTCTCTTTCTCGTCAATTTCCTCTCTTAATTCTTCCTCTACCCTAATTTTCTTGCTCTTCTCCTCAATTTCTTTCATCTCCAAAACCCCAATTTTCTTCTCTAATTCCCTCGCCTTCTTCTCGATTTCTAACTTTGCTTGCTTTAACTCTTCTACTTCCCACTTTAGATCTGACACCATCGATTCTTTCTCTTGCAAGACAGTCCTCAGTTTAGCACACTCTGTCCTAGCTTCCTCAACAGCACTCTTCTTAGACACTGAATCACGGCTAAGCCTGGAAACTTCGATCTCAAGACCGGCGTTTCTCGCCGCCACAACTTCCGCTGCCTTCGTGGCCACTTGAGACCGTTCGAACTCTCTCTCCAAACCTTCCAACTTCTCTCGCATCTTCGGTTCATCTTCTCTCAAGACATCAATCGCCAGCGTCAGTTTATTGATTTCGGTCTTCCTCCCTGCAATTTCGTTCACCAATCCGTCTCTCTCACGTTCCAATGCATCGATCTTTTTAGTCAATTCCTCAACGTGACCATCACTCTGGCGTAAACCAGGCTGATCATCAACCTTATCGTTTGCCATTGTTAGTTCTGGAAGAACAAGGAACGGTAATCAAAGCGATAAAGCAGCTAAGATACTAAAAATCGCATAATGACCATTACTGAGTTAATTTGACAAATAATGAAATTGGAAGAGATTTCATCATTTCAACAAAGACCGAAAGAGAAAGAATCACACATCTCACCGTCCAAACAACAAAGATAAACGATCACTTGAGAGAGGCTAAAAATTGAGGACGACGTCGGCGTTCAAAGTCGAAGAGAATGAGTCACCGATAAATGCTAGAGTTTTTGAGAAAATCAAGGACAGGTGCGAAATTCCGGAAAATCACACCAAGATTTTCCCAGAAATCAATAAAGGAAACTCCCCATTTCTTTCTTTTTGGTCCCAAAACTCGAGTCTCGGATGCTTTGCAAAACGCTGATCACAAAATGCAGAATTGGATCTGACTGATCATACATCTTCGTTAAATAAACTTTATAATATTATTTTTTAAAACATAAAAATAAATTTTTAAAATACTGTTCATCTTATATAATCTTATCTATAAAATTAAATAAACAATATAATAAATAATAATAATATTAAACAAGAATAATTAATGAAATTTTATTTTTATCAAAAGATTTTATATTATGGAACATGAATCACCTCTTATATTTTATGAATTGGAAACAGTATGATGTAACATTATTTTAATTTCTACATAGAATCATTATCTATACATGTTACATTATTTCGTACTGTTATTTAATATTGATATTGATATTGATTGATGATTATGGATGGTATTGAAATCATTATATTATTATTATTATTATTATTATTATTAATGTAATTAATTGATGATATGATCATATGAATGTTCAGACAAAAAATTAGTGCACCACTTTGAGCTTCACACCTGTAAAATGCCTTTCCTGATGTGAATCAAAGTATTGCCATTAATAGACTAAAACCAAATTGTAAAGTCTTATTATTCTTTATTCCTGTTAGGCCAAGCCAAGTTGTGATTAAGAAAGTGATTTTGTATCTTTTTGAGATGTGATTAATCCTAAACAAGTGGCCAAACCAAATGATGTGTTATTTTTATAAAAAATAATTTAAAAATATCTTTTACATATTAATTAAAAAATCATACCATAAATTATAAATAAGATAAAATGAACATTTTAAAATGTGTCATACAAATAAAATTGCAAGGAGTTTTTTTTTTTTATTTTACCTACATGTATGATTGTTCAAGACATTATCAAATATTACATATGGATACTTTTTTTAATAGAAAATCAAATCATAGTTATTCACATTGTACAGAATTAACTCTTTTCACTAAATCAAATTGCTATTAGTAAATAGATACTGATGCTATTGACAAGCGAAATGGAATTTAAGACCTCTTTTTCATTTTTTATAAAGAAAAGTTTAAGTGAATTGAGTTTCAAAAATAACCAAAAGTATGATATATCTTTAGATTTAAAAAGCACTTAAAAAGATACTTATAAATTACTTACAAATAAAGTATTAACATTAATAATGAAATTTAATCCCATAATTTTATAAGTTATGAGTCAAATTTTTATTAGTTGGATCAATAATAATATCTTATTTATAATCACAAAGGTCGATTATAAATGAGAGGCTGTAAATAAAGCTCATATGTCACTAACAAGACTGTTTGCAAGTCATCTTTAGATTGTTGCTTAAATATTGGGGAAAGTGACAATTAAAGACCCCCATAAAAAAAATTAATAAAAAATAACGACTTTCAAGTTGTAAGTTCTAATGTTTCAGTCGTGGAGTATCCTTGATATTTTTTAAGAGTTCTTATTTGTTATTCTCCCTAAATATTATAAGCCCATCTGCCAAATCTCAATCAAACTCGGTCCACATTCCTCTTATTTGGCCAAAAGTTTTGAGGGAAAATTATTTCCTAAGGCAAAACTGTGGTACAAATGTTTTATTACATCAAACGTATCAAGTAGAAATTTTAATTTTTTGAGAGTCCTAAATATAATTTTACAATATAATTCTAACTACTCGCTTCATTTAAGTGTTAAACATAAAAGTTAGGTATCTCATATCTGTTACAATCTATAAGATAAGATATTTTCTACAAATCCTATTCAACTTAAGATACAGAACATTAAATAATTTTAATAATTTTATTTTTAATTATATGTTTCAATTATTATTTCTTAAAAAAAGTCTATTAAAATTTTAGTTGTTATTCCTAAATCACTGGTATAAAATATTTAAAATAAAATATTTGATGAGAATATAATTAAAAATGTATATAATTTTTAATTTTTTAAAAAAATTAAAATTTTAGCTAATAACAGAAAAATAATTATTAGGGGGCATGGTACTAAGAGCCCTAAAAACACACATAATTACAGTTTGGGCCTAAAAAAAATTGATATTACACTGCAGGCTTTAAGGCTCTTATTACAATTTTTCTTAAGATTAAAAGTATATTTTTGCCCTTTTTTATTTGAATTCAAAAAACCTGCGTGAAATCATACACAGCACAATGCTCACATATGCTTAACTGAAAATCCATGCTTTTTTAGTATATCAATAGCTTAGACTCAACAAAATGGATAACTTAGGCAGATCATATATAACACAATATCTGCTATACATAAGATAATGTTCACGTACACTCAACTTAAAGTCCACGCTTTTTTAGTATTTCAGTAGCCTAAACTCAACAAAATGAACAATTTAGGCATATCATATACAACACAACATACACTATGCATAAGACAATGCTCACATATGATCAACTTAAAGTCCATCCTTTTTAGTATTTCAGTACTCTATACTCAACAAAATGGACAACTTACGCAGACCATACACAACACAATATCCACTAAGCAAAAACAATGCTTATGTATGTTCAACTCAAATTCTATGCCTTCCAGTGTTAAGAAAGACAATTACATCAAATATGAATAATTTCATGTTGGTACTAGCCTAATTACTAAAACAAGTACCCATATAAAATTTGACATAATATGTGAAGTATAATATATACAAAAAATTAATACTTATATCCAAAATATCTAACAGTTACTTCTCTTTATGAAAAAAATATCTATGATTCCCAATTATCTAAAAAATATTACTTGGGAATGCTTTCAAATACATAAGTATAGTTGCCTGTATACACCAAAAAAGTATAATGTGACTACTTCTCATGTTAAGTTAAGATTCTTGCATGTCTTGTGACTATGTCTGACCTCCCCACATCTTAAATGATGATAAATCTTTTTATCTTGAAATTAAGACTCTATCCTCCTTATCCATGACCTCCCATGGCTAGTTCAAGGCGGTTGCAAAAAAGTTTGTGATAAGTTATTTGTCAATATTGTTGTATCAGTAAGTTAGGCTTAACAAAATGCACAAGTAAGCAAACAATGTACAATACAATATCCATTATGCACAATACAAGGTTCATATATTCTCAATTAAAAGTTCATATAATTTTAGTTTATCAATAGATTAGACTTAACAAAATGCTCAAATTAGGCAAACAATGTATAACACAAAATTTACTATGCACAATACAATGTTTATATATTCTCAACTGAAAATCTATGCGATTCTAATTTATCAATAGGTTAAGCTTAACAAAATACTCAATTTAAACAAACAATATACAACACAATATTTACTATGCACAACACAAGATTCATATATTCTCAATTAAAAATCCATACGATTTTAGTTTATCAGTAAGTTAAGCTTAATAAAATGCTGAAATTAAGCAAATAATATACAGCACAATATTCACTATGCACAACACAAGATTCATGTATTTTCAATTGAAAGTTCCATGCGATTCTAGTTTACCATTAGGCTAAGCTTAATAAAATACACAACTCAACATTTAACAACAACTCAAAGTTAGTTTTTGCATAACAAATATTTCAATATTTCTGATAGCAAATTTTTTTCATATTAGGTTATATTTTATTCAATTCACATGTTAAAGTCCAATAAAAACAAGTCAACTATCATTATTGTACAATAACTAATCTAATCTAAAACTTTCATAATCAACTTAATGATTCAACAACCTTTAACTTATATCAGTAATAAAATCACAATTGAAATTTCAAACTGAAGGTTTTCCTATAGCTAGGAATACAGGTAGGCCTGGCCCTTATAAGCTCGACCTTAAGGGCCTAAACCCTTGAGCTCGGTTCTCCATGTTTAGTCCCTTTTCTGAGGCTCGGCCCTTATATAAAGGGCTCAAAGCTAGGCCCGGAAGCCCCATTCTAAAAAATTAAAATAAAATTAAATATTATAAATTAATTAAAAAATTTTGAAATTAAAAATATTAAAATCCTCACAATATTTTAAAAATTAAACAACATGTTTAGAAATCTAAATAACACACATTCATCAATTAAAACCCAAATCTTCCTCATCCTCATCATTTGCAAATAAAACATTAGACCCCTCAAATGTAAGTGCACTTGTTGAAAATGGAGGTGGTGATTCAATATCAATTATCTTTACAACTTCTTCATCACCTATAATAAATATTAACCAAATTGTGTCATTATTAATCAAATATATGTAAGTATGTGTATATATACATATAAGATAACTAAGCTTATCAGGGCTTGGAGGGCCACCGGGCCTGGGCCTTTTTTTATAGGGCTTATCAGGGCTAGGCCCTCAAGCCCAATTCCTTTAAAAAAAATAATTTTTAAAGCCCTAACTTTTATTTAAATAGAGCCTCCTAACTCAGCCCTTATTCCTAGCTTTAAGTTTTCTCATCTAACTAAATATTTGGCTAAAATCCAACTATTTTAGATAATCCTCTCATCAATTTATACGGGGCTAAAAAGCCAGCAATCTCGTTCCATCACATTCTACCTATGGTTCCAAGAAGAAAACATGGGCAAGCAAGAAGCAATCAACATCAACAAATACTGAAAGCTAACAAAGCATTACATCACTCTTTGCTTGTGGTTCAATTGTCAGCTCTTTCTTGTTTCAGCGTAAAAATAGTGGATAGCATTCTTAATCAAAACTTAATAAACAAATTTTTAACCGAAACACAGTTTAAGATGGAGAGATTTTGAAATCTACACTTCTCAAAAGTTACTCCTCATCATTAGAGTTGAGAAACTTTCGCATCCTTCAGCTAGGTAGCCTTCTTGCTTTCGTCATCAATCCCACCACTCTCTATTCATTCATTTCCATTTATTTTTATAAAAAATAAAATTATATTTTTGATGTAAAGAAAAATTACAATAAAGGCCCAAAAGTCTACAGAATAATATCAGATTTTTTTCAAATCCAAAATGCAATAATGTGTTTGAAAGGCCCTTAATGTCATTCCCCCTAATTATTAATACTCAATATTATGGACAAGAGGAAATACAAATAAAGTAAAATAGTTAAGTTTTTTTGTACAAAAAACGTGTTCTTTCTTTAAAATACTGTTCTTTTTTTTATCATGTACATTGAAAACTATCTCCTGCAATCAATAGAGGTAATTTGAAAAAATAATAATAATAAATGTGAGGGATAAAAACGATTGAAATCTTACAATTAAGACAAAAACAAACACCTCATCCAACTTTGTGCATTTAAAAGAGGAGGAAGTATTTGATAAAATACATATAATTCTAACTTCCAAGGTAAAAATCTATATTTTTCCTGCAATACTTTTAAGGGAACTTCATAACAGAAATTTACATGCGATTTATCCTTTTTACTACTCATAATAATTGAGTAGACAGAGTGAGAGAGAGAGAGAGATGAAAGAGGTTACGTGTAAGAAGGAGTTAATTCCAATTATACAGTTTCTTACCAAAGTCTAAAGCATCTGACCAGAGAAAGCTTAGCTCTTTGAAGGGAATGACAGCCTCACAGCCTCGCTCACCCTTATTTTACACAACCTACAAAGAGACCCAAGTGCCTTCCCACATTAAGCACCTCCTTCTACAGCCATTTCTCCCTCTTGGCCAAAACATACAATTTGATGAAGCCTAAAACATACCAGTCATGCCATACTGAACAGGACCAACCTTTCTATGAGCCGTAGTCCCTGTCGTGGCAGCACCGATCCGACCATATTGAGCCTTTGTCGGCATTAAGTTTGAGTCCATAGCTATTCGATCGTCCGGTTCGATGCTGTTCACTCCAGCTCGCGTCATAAAAAAAGGGTTCGTATCAATATTAATAGCTATATCCGGCACTATTTTGGCTCGAACTTCAGAATGCGCATGTTTGGCTTGCACCGGTACGCCCTGATCAGATTCTGCTGTGCCTGACCTTTCTTGATTTCCAGAGCTGGATCTTTGGTGGTAATATGCAGGGTGAACAGCTTGAGAAGGAAGCATGGAACCTCTGATAAATGTCCTAGGATCATAAGAGTCCTTGACAACACTTGCATACTCGTACGGAACAACCGGCCCGACTACTTTTCCGGGTTTTGCTGAGAAGCAAATGCAACATTAGCAAATCAGTTGTTTATAAATGTGAAACATCAACTGAACACAATGGCAGCAATTGAATACCTATTGGAACTCTTTGCTGCCCCTGAATTGACCTTGTCACAGAAATTTCTGCACCTCTGGAGTTCTTATTATATTCCTCAGATGTTTGCCTGCTTTTGCCAGAATTGATATCTGATTGCTCCTTTGGTGGAACCATATTTGAATGCACAACTGTCGACCTACCAATAGCTCCGAGATATCAGTAAAAAACTAAAACATAATTACCTCCCCTGAATGTGCTCGGAATGTGAGAATCTTGTAAACAAATGTACATATCGGGAAAATGAGCAACTAAATATGACAATTGCAAAATAACTCCGAGGGAGAATGGCTTCATGGGCACTAGTTTACAACAATATAAACCCATGCTTCTCAAACAAATATATTGATGTGTACTACAAATATGCAAGTCATGCTTAATAATACTCATCCAGGACAGAGTGGATTAACCTTAGAAAACTGATGCACCTATATTCAATCTCTTTATCAGTTTTCTTTACGCACAAACTCCCCCCGTCTCAACTATAAGCAAAAACTACATAATTTTCTTGATCTTCAAACTCTTGATTAAAAGCAAAAAATCCCAGTTTTAAATGTAATTAATGGATGTTCCCAATTATGCCCCTCATTCAAAATTAGAAGAGAGGAGTAGCTGAAATTGTCGCAATAAATAACCATCATTACTAACAGGGGCATTTAAGGGGAAAAAAATCAATTTCAAACATAACTAAGAAGAATAACTAACTTTCTAGAAAATTGTGAAACAGTTTTTTTTTCTTACAATTGAAACCAGAGGGAGCATTATTTATCATAGAACATTCATCCCTATCCTAAGAGTAATAAAACCAAAGGTATTAATTTCATCAATGAAGTTACAATTCAAAGAAATAGTTGGAGAAATGCAACGAGTCACTGCATTTAAGAATTACCTTGGAAGAGAAACATGCTTTCTTTCAAGAGGCATGATGGGGCCATTTTTACTATTTTCCTCAAGATGAACAAACTGCTTCCTGAAGTGATCAACAGCACTGTAAAGAATACGATCCCAGAAAGTATAAGTAGAAAATAACATAAAAGAAATTCGATTTGATGTCTATCGAAAGAAGGATGACACAGAAGTCAAAAGCATCCAACGAAAAAAAAAAAAAACCTTGGATAAAGAAAATTAGGTCTCTCTGTTCCATTTATGTAGTCTTTCAATAGTTGTGGATGATACTCTAAAATCTCACGGAAGATTAGCTCTCGTATTTCCTCCTTTGTAACTCTTCGCCTTTCAAACTCAAACTCCATTTTACTGATAGGCTGGCAGGATGGTTCCCTCTCAACCTTTGCCAATCCCTTAAAGTAAGGATCAGCCAATGCCTGCAGACACCCCAAAGATCAAAAAACTTTTAGCACCTGAAGCAAGAAACTGAAGATAACATTGTCCAGGTTGATGTACAACCTCTACAATACACTAGGCCTTCTTTAAGAAATTGTAGAATACTGAGTTGCAGTTATATATTAACCGATAATACTTCTCAATGCACATACATAAGCAACAGAGAGAGAAAGGTAACAAACCTCTTCAGCAGTAGGCCGGTCTTTTGGATCAAAAGCAAGCAATCTTTCCAGTAATCGTAGTGCTAAAGGATCTGCATTAGGAAATTTTTGTGAAAATGGTACAGGTTGCTTTTTCCTCATGCTAGTTAGATATCTCCTCGCCTTATCATTACGAACCTACATAAAACATAGAAGAATGTTGTGCGGAAAACAATTTTAGCAGGAGACAAAAGCAAGGCTAAAAACAAGTATTTTCTCACAAACACTGCAAGGGAAATCAATTTACCCGGGATATAGTATCCAGTGAGGGAGTCCCAAGCAGATCAGTCATCAGATCCAACTGATGGACAACATTTTTACCAGGAAAAAGTGGTTTTCCCGTTAGAACTTCCGCAAAGATGCAACCGATACTCCAAATATCAATTGCTGTGTGTATACTGCAATATGAAATTTTAAACAAAATGATAACAATAATAAGTTTGTATTTTCAATATCTCAAAAATGATACAAAACTAAAAAATACAAACTTGGCTTTCATCTACAAGTTTATATACTTCTCTATATATATATAATTTTCAATATTTATTGTCTTTCCTTTCACTGAATATCTTAAATGGTCTTCGATACTTCTTCCAGCTATGATCAGACAAGAGGAACACGACAAAGAAATGGATAAGATTACAGGTCCTTTTCAACGTTTCTCTTCAGATAACAACTTCAAATGTCCGTTGTGTGCACAGTAATGAACATGGACAAATAACTTTATTCGTGTCAAAATGCTAGAGGGTTTTAATCACCTCTCACCAAGTAGCTTCATGAGTAACTTTTCCTTTTCAGCCATGAGCCTCGTGAGTAACTTTAAACATCAAATATGATGAAAGGCAAAGGAAAAAAAAATTTGCAAGAATAATTCATTTTGTTATCAATTTCTCCAATTATTACATGAATGCTTAGTTAACTCATATACTTGATTTATTTTCATTTGAACAAAAGTAGCACAATTTTTCCTCATCTAATATTTCATAAAACAACAAAGAATACAACCAGCAGGTCATAACACAGTCACACTACTAACTGATAGATAAGGAATAGCACATAGGTCGCAGATGTTACAGTTGGCAATTTGATGGGAAAGGAAATAATACAGAGCACGCATGTGCAATTTTTAAATGCAAGTTTAATGATCTTGAACTAATGCAGGGTGAGCAGACTACGCAAATGTCTGTTTCTCACTGCCACAAATAATCTGAATGAAGGCATACCTTTGAGTAAAATGATCCACAAAGCTCTGGAGCTCTATACCATCTTGTAGCAACATAATCCTACATGCGCATAGAAGTAAGAATAAAACACCGTCTTCTACTTTTGGAAACAATATTTAAACTCAAAACTAATATCAAGTAAGGCGGAGAAAAAGGGAGAAGGAAAAGGCAAAAAATAAAATAAAAACAGATAAAAGGATTGTATTGCATACCGTCCAAAATATGGTAGTTTGTGTGTCACTGAAGCAACTCTAGCTAACCCAAAATCACAGATTTTGAGTTTACAATTTGCATTGGCCAATATATTCTTTGGTTTCAAATCTCGATGATAGACATTTGCTGCAATGTAGCCAGGAATCCAATAAGAAATATTGAAATTAACATTAGCAAAAAAAAAAAAAAGAAAAATCAAGAATAGAACAAACATACGGCAAAAAAGGCAAACGAATGGCTTAAAATGAGTGAGGGAAATTGCATACAATCTCAGGAAAGGCAAAACCTATATTGAAGAACTAGAATACTTGGACATTCAAACAAACAACATGCACTATCCCAACTCTTCCCTATTGAATGTTCATGAATGTAAAAAACAAAAATTATTCACTTATACCCATGAGTAAGACCACATGAATTCAAGTAAGAAATTCACGAACAAGTATCAGACATCAAATTGGCCAAATAAGAAGATATCAAAGAATACCAGTGTGAATATACTTCAATCTCGAAGTAGCTGGTAAAGGAAAAAACTGATAGTGCTCTTTCGTTAAGTCATCATTGCTTTAATGACTTGGTGAAGATCAGACTCCATTAGCTCAAAAACAACATAAATATCTTTAAAGTCCTTGCTAGAAGGAGGCAGCATAATGTGTTTAATTTCAACAATATCTGGATGTCGTAGAAGTCTGAGCAGCTTTATCTCACGAAGAATTCGGGCGGCATCAGAGATGTGCTCAAAGATGTCATGAATCTTCTTTATTGCTACTTTCTCACCTGTGTGAGTGTCAGTGCTGAACAAACAAAACCATAACTTCCTTTTCCAATGACTTCTTGAATTTTATACCGGTTGGCATCACCATATTC